TATGTAAGATTTATTAACATATGACAATCCCTTCAAATACCTTTATAAATCTATTGAGTGTTATGAAGAGTTCTGCTCTGGGAGAGTATTCCACTGTCAACTGAAAAATAAAAATAAAACAAGAAACACACAACCTAAAAGTTGCAAGTTATGATTTATTTGGTGGCCTTATTGAGGACTATTGCCTGGGAAGGCAACCTCTGATAGTTCCTTGGAATTGTGCCAAAGAGGTAAGAGTGAAAGTGAAAGTGAAGTCGCTCAGTCCTGTCCGACTCTTTGTGACCCTATCTATGGACTGCAGCCTACCAGGCTCCTCTGTCCATGGGATTTTCCAGGCAAGAGTACTGGAGTGGGTTGTCATTTCCTTCTCCAGGGGATCTTCCTGATCCAGGGGTCGAACCCATATCTCCCACATTGCAGGTAGATAGTTTACTGTCTGAGCCGCCAGGGAAGCCCAAGAGGTAAGAGAGGAGTCTCCACATATGAGTTTTTGCTGTGGAGGGGAAAAAGTAGCAGAACATCAAAAGATTACTGCTAATCACAAAAACAAACAGCAAACAAAAGCACACATCTCAAGTTAATGATTCTAGTGCTTTTCTACCCATGGGAAGATGCAAGAGTCTGTAGTCATTGAAATTATTTCTTGATTATGCATCTTAATTATCTAGAGCCAGTATCCTGTTTTTCTCCATCCTGAATTCCCCTCAGGGCACACTAATGGGCAGGCTCCCATGACTGATAGAGTGCCTATTGTTTACTAAAATGGCAGGCAACTTTTTTTGTCACACAACAATAAAAATAAGTGGTGCTAATCTACAAGGTTTGAAAGAAATAAGCAAGGGTTAATCTGCACACCATAAAAGCAAGCCAGAAGGAAGTAAATAAAATTTGCTTCAAACTTCTGTTCTTGTTTTAAATATATCTGTTACTTTTTTTTTTCTTTTCCCCCTCCTGATAATAAGATCAATTGAAGAGAATAAGAGTTAATACTTAAAAGGAGATATAGCTGGTTGGAACCTTGTTATTTCCTCTCCATTCCTTTGACTTTTCATTGTCTTCTCTGTTTTATCCACATTGATGCAGTTATACGTTGGACATTGTATGAAAAGATAGTGTTTGATGCTGTTTTAGAATAGATGCTTCAGAAAATCTTCAGTTAAACTGATCTCACTGCTGCTCTGGGAATTTCTGTATTGTTCTCTTGGGATATCTTTATTGCTAAGAATAACATTTTAAGGTCAAGAATTAATTGTGTCTATTATGATGTATCTCATATGTTTGTTGATGATTAATGGGACAGGCAATCAGTACCTTAATGAAATACTGCTTTTCCAATATTTAGAACAAACTACTGATTCTTATTATGATCTTTATCCTAATATTAAATCTAGGAATAGCTAAATGTCAGAATCTTTCCATTAAAGACTTCAGCTGAAGCACTGCATCTCTGTTAAACTGTAATCAGGGAGTTGGCACAATGACACTCATGCTGCTTGAGTATAGCCACATAGGAACTCAGAATACATATTAATTAAGAAGGAAGAAAGGGAGGGAGGACGGGCAATCCTGCATTTTGCCATCCATCTTATAAGAGAAGGGTGAGTTACTTTTAGATTCACGGATGTCTCTCCAAAGCATTCCAAAGGTACTCAATCATGATGTTTGGATTCCTGATGGCTGAGGTGTCACAGAGGAGGTGCCTGGGTCACTGAAAGGAAGGGAAGGAAGGTAGAGTCCTATTGACAAAATAGGAAATATGTCAATGGACAGAAGAGAATATCCTGAAAGATGATGTTTAGAGAAGGGGGGAGGTGTCAGCATGGGGGAGGGGGGCTGAACAGGGGGTAGGGAAGATAGAGAACTATACAAGTTCTTTATAAACAGAGGCTCTTTTAATTTTTCAAAAGAACCCCATGGAGGCAATATAACTTGCACATCATAGATAAGAAAACTAAAATTTAGAAATATTAGACAATTTGTCTCAGACTAAAGAGTTTCTTGGGCTTCCCTGGTGGTTCAGACTGTAAAGTCTGCCTTCCAATGCAGGAGACCCAGATTAGACCCTTGGATCTCCATGATCCCCTGGAGAAGGGCATGGCAACCCAATCCAGTATTCTTGCCTAGAAAATCCCAAGGACAGGCGAGCGTGGCAGGTTACAGTCCAGGGCGTCACAGAGAGTTGGACATGGCTTAGGGACTAAACTACCACCACCACAGAGTTTCTTAGTAGAAAAGCTGTTAATAGAACCCAGACTTTGCCCCAAAGTACATACTCTTTCTACCATACCACCCTGGGCAGGTTTGGAGCTTGGGAAAACTCACATCTCAGGCTGTTAATTTTGGTCCTCTGGAGGTAAGACCATCCTCAGCAGATGTGTACAAGGCTGCATACCTGACGGCTGGTTATTTTCAGTGGATTCTCACATCAATCCCTTTCTCCTTCCCCGTGTTCTGAACTCCAGAGATCATTTCCAAACGATCTTTCTGGGTCATAAGCACAGATTTTACAAGGTGATACTTTTCCCTTCCCTGTAATTTCTGTCCTCAAACCTCCCAGGTAACCTGGAAGGCATAGAGTCTTTTAACTTTTATTACTTTATGAAGTTTTCTACTCTAGCACACATGTGTTCTTCAGTTATTCAATAACTGCTTTATGACAATCATGATGAAAGGCCTGGTTCAAAATGTTCAGTTGATACAATTAGAATTACTTTATATTCTTACACTATTACATACTAAACAATTTTGCCTACTTCTTCAAACCTTATTCCACTTTCCATAAGCTGTGGTATGACTTAACCATTTGTTATCTCACGATTTCTAGTTATCAGCACAAAGGGAGGCTCCTCCTTGAGGGCAAAAAACATTATCTGTTATTTTGTTTTTAATATCCTACTCACCTGTGGTTGTATACCATCTTTCTTTTTTAATAAGGCTTGTATTTTTGTTTCTTGATTTTTTCTTTATCTTTTCAATAAATGTTTTTTTTCTTTTTTTGATCAATTTTCCTTGCTTTTTATTTTTCTATTTTATTAATTTCTGCTTTTATTTTCAATGAAGTAACATAATTTTTTGAAATTTCTTCTATGTTTCTTGGTTTGTATGTTGTTTTGCAATAAATACATTGAAGGTTGTATAGCTTTTTTATACTCTCCTGATTTTATGTAGGATTTTTGTTTTTCTTCTGTTTCTAAAGAATTTGTAGTTTCCCATTTGTGCTTCCCTTTAATCCAGGTTTAACACATTCTTAAATTTTTAATTGTGCTATATCAATCAGGGAGAAATGTGCTATTTATAATGTCTACCACTTAAAATGTGTCCGTCTAGAAAAAACAGTGTTGACAATGGATAACCAACAAGGACCTATTGTATAGCACATGAAACTCTGCTCATTGTTATATGGCAGCTTGAATAGGAGAGAAGATTGGGAGAGAATGGATACAGGTACACGTGTGTCTCTTTGCCGTTCACCTGAAACTATCACAACATTGTTAACTGGCTATACTCCAATGCAAAAGAAAAAGCTTTAAAAAATAAAAGAAAAAGAAAAGAGTGGATCTTTATTTGTGATCTAGTTAAGTGTTGAGAATGTTCTGTTTGTATTAAAAAAAAAAAAACAAAAAACACCTATTCTCCATTTGGAGGGTGCAAAGATATGTGTGGTTGTATTACATATATCATTTAAAATGATTTTTAATGGTCTAGATGCTTCTGCAAGCGATAGCAGTTTTTCCCCACCTACAGTTCAAATAATTGCAAGATCTCAACGCCATTTCAAAAAACCTTTGACAGGACAGAGAGATACTTGTTTCTACATTCCCACAAATGTACAGTCACAGGGAGTATGCAGGGAGGCTGTCAAAATCTGATAAGAAAACTAAACAATAAATAATAAGACCTAAAAACGAGTGTAAATAGTATTGATCCCACCACAAAATGGCTTGGTGACCTTGGACAAGTCACTCCTCAAGGTTTCTATTTCCTCATCTCTCAGTGGGAATGGTCATACCTGTGCTCCCAACTTGACGAGGTTTGTCAGGAGAAGCCAAGAGGTAAGAAATGTGAACATAAAGTAATAAATAAAAAATATTAGGAGAGGTTGCTAATATTTAGATACAAGATAAAGAAAAGATAACAAAATGTAAAACGGCCAACACAGACTCCAAGGTGCTCATTTTCTATTGGTTCCCTTCCCTGCCCCCAACACCTTCAGGTTCTTTTGAGGACACATCCCTCCAGCTTGGAGAAACCCCCGCCCAATTGTGTGAGTCTCTCTCTTCATTGCAAAGACAGGCAGCTTGGAACCTGCCGGAAGCTCGTTGAGGAGGGAGCCAAAACCTGCCCGCAGCTGAAATTCGCGCTTCAGCACAATGAGGCCGACATGTATGGTGTCTTCCTTAGGCTGTGGGGGTTGACTGGCAGCTTTTGCCCAAAGACTCGTCAATCCAAGGACGCTTTCGCCCCGGACGCCCCCAGGTCTTGGGCAGTCAGCTACGGAGATATTTGGGCTGGAAGCTTCAAGGGCCTCTGAGATCTCATCCAGCAACCGCGGCACTCTGTCTAAGCACTATGTCCTCGGTAGAAAAGGGATCGATGGTGTTCTGCATGAGGGTTTTCAGGGAAGATGCTCCTCACGGTCCCACGCCTCCTGGGGAAGATAATTGAGCGCCGAGAGCACGAGCTCTTGTTTCGGCGGTGCCGGAGCCGCGGCAGCCTGCCTGGTGTGTGCAAGCACCTAGCCTCCTCCGAGCCCTCTCTTCCCAAATTGCCTTCCTGCCGCAGTCCGAGGCCAAATTAATTCTCTTCCCTGGGCACGATCCTTCCGTTTCCCCGATGGGATCCAGCCTTTCAACCATTAACCTCCCAGCTACCGGGAGAAGGGAAGGTGCAGGATGGAGGGTGTTGGGGGCGGGGGGCGGGGAGGCATTTTGCACGTTCAGGGGCGCCAAAATTAACTGCCAAAGCTAAAAGGGTTTCCTTTCTTCCGTTTTTGACAGACGAATGCGGTGGGATGCCTGCTGGGCCGACTGCCGCCCCGACCCGGAGCCCTGGGTTCACTTCGCAGCCTGCCGCTGAGTTTCAGACCGCAGTACTCAGCATCCGCCCGGCTTTGCCCCCTTGCCGAAGTCTGCAGATCGATAGATGCTGGGCGTAGGCTTTTCCCCAGGCTAAAGCCCCAAAGCCCCCACCTTCGCCTTCTATTTATTTGCCCGCTCCCACCACTACCATCGAAGTACATGCCCCTCTGGTAGTGTTGGCGCTGCCACCGAGCGAGGGAAAGGGCGCCTCCCCATCCCCTCCTCCCCATCCCCGCCGCGACTCGGGGATTTACTGCGGCAGCCGGAGGTGACAGTGACGCCGGAGCCTCCTCCGCTGCTCGCAGAGCCCCAGCTTCCCCAGCCTCCGGAAAGCGCCTCCTTCTGAGAGGCTGGTCCCTGGAGAAGTGCTAACGTGCTGCAGGAAACCAAATTTAAAAATGTAGAAGTCGCTGGGCTGCATTCCTCCGAGGACGAGCCTGATCGCCCAGGACCGAGAGTGGCAGCGTGTGGGAAGTTGGGACCACAGAGCAAGGGGGGAGGGGAGCGGTGCAGCCGGCATTCCCTTCTGAAAGGAGTCGTGGGGAGCCGTGACCGGGTGGACACAAGTTTGCCTGGGAGTGTTTTCCTTCCGTCAATAATTAATCACCGGGATCAGGCTGGCAGAATTGGAGTTTTAGCAATAGTGCAGAGGGCGGGGCCGAACACCTAACTCCTGGAGGTTTGAGGTGCCCAGCGCAGTAGGAAGCTCGCAGCAGTTGGGGAGGAGCCAAAGCGCTGTGCTCACCTAACCCGCAGGAGATATACCCAACCCAACCAGGAGGTAAGCATCTTCCAAATACATGCTTGAACGGTAACGTCGCTTTTAAAGGCTAGAATTCCTGTCTTTAGAAGGAAAAAATAATACCGAGCCATAAAGCAATGTACCAGCTTATTATTTAACTGCACTAAAAATTTTAAGAATTGAATGGGTTTTTCCATTTGCCTTTAACTATGTTAGAAACTAAGATGTTTCAGTCAACAGAAGCCAAACTTCACTACTGAAACTTTCCCAGCCAAAAGAAGAGAAAGTTACTTTGTTAATTACTTTTGGTTTTTGTCTTTGTATAATGCAGTAACACGATTCAGAGAAATGTCATTGAGAGTTGCTTGATTTCATTCTTAAATATTTTCTTTATCTTGTTTCGTGTTTTTATACAATACTTTTTGCCCATAAGCTACTTGAGGCAATGATACACACAAGTCAATTGCCCCCAAAGTAAAGAATTTCCAACAAGGGATACATTTGAACATTTTATCATGATTTCTTATGCTGTATTGCTGTTTGTTTTAGTTGACAAGTCTTGTCAGACTCTTTCGCAATCCCCTGGGCTGTAGCCCACCAGGTTCCTCTGTCCATGGGATTTCCCAGGCAAGAATGCTGGAGTAGGTTGCCATTTCCGTCTCCAATTAAGCAGTATGTATTTTCTTTAAGATGATTAAGTGACCACGTATAAGTAACTAGACTTCTAAACCCAGGGAGAAAAGTACATATAGATAACTTTGAGAAGGGGGTGAGGATATGGCATAATGGATAGAAAAGAGTTTAGATATGAACAGAAATTCTAGATCTGTGTCAACTAAAATGACTTTCAACTGGTTGGCAATTAACATATGAACCCAGCCCTTGATCCAATAAAGAATTTGAAGAATTATTAACTTTAAATTTTAGCCCTAAAACTACAAATAAATGCACCAAGAAAGTTGGGGCAATTGTTCTCCTATATGACTTTGTGGTCTGGTAGTTCTTTTGAATTAAATAAATGTTAAGAAATGCATGATTATTTTTGCTTGTGAGTTTTGTAGGTTAGTGTGTAAAATTAATTTTCACTTCTGAATTATTCCTATACTTTTTAAAGGACATCTTTTTATTGTTATTTTTAATTGGTTTTCGTTTGTTTTTTCATTTATTTTTACTAGTTGGAGGCTAATTACTTTACAATATTGAAGTGGGTTTTGTCATATATTGACATGAATCAGCCATGGAGTTACATGTATTCCCCATCCCAATCTCCCCTCCCACCTCCCTCTCCACCCGATTCCTCTGGGTCTTCCCAGTGCACCAGGCCCGAGCACTAGTCTCATGCATCCAACTTTTAATTGGTTTTTATTGGAGGATGGTTGCTTTACAGGGTTGTTAGTTTCTGTTGTGGAGCAAAGTGAACCAGCTGTAACTCCTCTTATTTGGATTTCCTTCCCATTTAGGTCAACAGAGCACTGGGTATCCTTCCCTATGTTACCTATTTTATAAGTTGTTGTTTGGTTACTCAGTCATGTCTGACTCTTTATGATCCCATATACTGCAGCCCACCAGGCTCCTCTGTCCATGGGATTTCCCAGGCAAGAAGTGGTATATATATGTCAGTCCCAATCTCTCGATTCATCCAGCCCCCCTCTTCCACCCCTGGAAACCATAAGTCCATAAAACAGGCATCATTTTGATGATTGTTTCAATGGCTGTTGATGGTTTTAGGCATAGATTACTAGAGCAACAGCAAACATGTGAAATGAACTATCACCCTCATTACCCAAAGATTTCTATACAACTGTTTGATAACAACAAATTAACAATGGTTTGCCAAACCAAATTCATGGGCATTCTAGAAATGTAGTGGATATGAAGTTGAAAGTCAACCAATCCTCAACTTCAATTGGCTTTCTTAATCCACTGTTTGTAAATTTGCGAATACTTATGTAAAAACTGTCCTTTGTAATTCTGTATCTACTGGGCTTTTATGTCAGCATAAACTATTTTACTACCAAGTATACAAGATGGAAAATCTTCATTAAAAATTATCTAAATGGGACTCAACTTCCAGTATGGTGGTATGAGGAACTCTGTGAACCTACCTGCTTAAGCAAAACAACAATAACTTTAAAATTACTGTTGGAAATTGTACATAAGCAACTATTTGGTCTCTAGAAATTGTCCTGAGGAAATACAACAAATGAAGAAAACTTTGTTAAAGACAGTCTATTAAGTTTCAGTAAGAACAGCTAGAGTTTGGATTCTGAGCTACAACCCACTTCCTTCACCAGCTCCACCTGGACATGCTGGTGCTCTGCTCTGAGGGGGACTGCAGCCAAGAACACTGGGCTCACTCGAAACCTAGACCACAGCTGAGGGCTGTGTCATGTCCCGAGAAAACAGGCCACCAGCATCTCATCCACCACCAGTGCTGCAGAAGCTCTATTTTAGTCAAGAGCAAGTGAAAGGTCTGAGGCTCTCTTCTTCCAACCATCCCCCATTCTTAAGGCGAAAGAGAAAAAACTCAACAACTAAAAAAGAACTAACCCATTTTACAATGGGCAAGGGACTTCAGACATTTCTCTAAAGAAGGTGCGTAAACAGCCAATCAACACATGAAGAGGTGCTTACCACCATTAGTCATTAGGGAAATAAATATCAAAAACACAAGATACCACTTTATACCAACCAAAAAGACTAATCAAAAAGAAAGATAATAACAATTGTTGGAAAGGGAGTGGACCAGCATGTATTAGACCAGCATAAATTAGAACCAGCATATATTGCTGGTGGGAATGTAAAATGAGTAAGTTGCTGCGGAAGATAGGTTGTGAATTCCTCAAAAAACTGAAATTTACCATTTTAGCCCAGCCATATACCTCATATTATTTCACTCCGAGGTATTATCCAAGAGAATTGAAAATCTAGGTCCATGTAAGAACTTGTGCACTGATGTTCACTGCAGCATCACTCATAATACACAAAAAGAGACCATAACTCAAGATCCCATTGACTGGTGAATGGATGGATAAAATGTGATATGGAATGCAATAATGGAATATTATTCAGCAATGAAAAGGAAAAGGTATATGCCATAACATGGATGAACATCTAAGACTATACTAAGTGAAAGACCATATATTGTATAATTCCACCTATATAATATGAACACAACAGGCAAACCTATAGACCGAAAGTAGATTTTTTGTGTGTGTGGTTAAGTATGACTGAAGTGGGGGCGGGGGTGGAGTTGAGCAGGAATGGGGAGTTACTGCTAAAGGGTACAAGGTGTCTTTATGGGCTAACAAAACTGGTCTAAAACTGATTAGTAGGGGTTGCATAACTGTGAGTATACTAAAAACCACTGAATTGTGTGCTTTGGGTGAACTGTATGGTTTTTGAATTATATCTCTTTATTGAGCTGTTTTTAATAAATTATACAAGGTATTAAAAGGTATATATAGGTTCAGAATTTGGAGTTCATGAATCTTCATGTACCACCAGACCAATAGTTTACATGAAGCTCTTTCCTAAGGGCTACATTGAAATAGATGAAATAATTGAGTGATACAAGTGATACAAATGTGATTTGCATATGTTTACACACCTGCCCAAGCTATTCTCTGTTATGAAATGTCAAATGTCTTTAATGCAGTCCTATAGAGAATTGGTGTGCAATGCCCTAACTTTTTTAACTCATGCACTCATTAGATTAATACAAGTTCAGTGAGGCCAGTTGTTCCTCCTGTTTCTAGATAAGTCTAGTCCGTTATCAGTTGTTCAGGCCAGTTGTTGAGAGAAGCCTCAGTAGGTGAGAGAGGGAAGGAAGGTACCTGAATCTCAGCCAAAAGTGTACTTGTCTGCCACTTAGACAGCCCCAGTTTCACTCACACTAGAATGGCTCAGAAGTAGAAGTCTTAAGGAAAAAGGATGAGCTGGAACAGCCACAGTGGTACTCAGCACACTGACATGTCACTGCTGGGAAGCATCTCTAGTGGTTTCAACAATCTCAAATACAGAAGCTTCCAAATAATTCATACTCCCCTCTGCTCATCTTCTGTATTTTGAGTTTCTATAAACTACCTGATCCTGTACTAAAAACCATGGAATCGGATGATAATGTTTTGTTCAAAAACAGGAAGATAAGATTAGTGAGTCTGAGTTTCAGAGGGGTAGTCAACAACACCTGAACTTGTTGCCAGGAACAGGCATGAGCACAAGGAGCCAAAGGATGCCCTTAGCTTTAGGGATTCAAGCAAGTCCACCGGCATCAGGAAACCTCAGGATTTTCCACTCTCACCAGGCCAAGCTTATCCTTCCATATTTATGTTTAGAAGAGCACCCCATGCTGGTGAAAATGGGTTCCATGCAGTTTTTGATCATTGAAGATTTTATAGAGATCCTATTGTCATCTTTTGTCAGATTTCTATAAAATAATTTTAAATGTCTAACCAATTGTCCATAAATTAAATCCATGTAGGAAAAATCTGATTGTAGTTATTATTTATTACTATTGCTTTGATCAGGATTAATGATTCTTTTATTCAACATATTGATGGTGCATCTAACTCTGTACCCGGACAATTCTAGGCCCTGGATGAGTAATAAAACAGACAAAATTCCTACGCTTAAGGAATTTAACATTCCAGAGGGGCTGTCATATAAATATGTAATTTTTAAGTGAATTATACAGTGCATGAGTAGGAGATAAGGGCTCTGGAGAAAAACAGGGAAGGGAACAAGTTACAATTTTAAACTGTGGCATCAGGCTAGGAAGTACAATTATGTAATTAGATAATATAAAGATCATATATGGGGTGGGCCATGAGGATTACCTGCTCCAAGTTAATTTTTTCTCCCTGGAGCTTCATTTCCCCTTCCCGTCAGCATTATTTTACTATCTTGAATTTACTGCTGTTTCACCAAAGAAAATATTACATTAGCCCCAACATTCCAAGCAAGCATAAGGAAGACAGAACTTCTTGCCTTTTTTAAAGACAACTACAACCCAATCCAAATAAAACTACACCCAAATA